TATCCACCAAAAACCGTGATGCAAACATTTTATGCATTTGGACAGCTAATCCGATCTGTAATGGGGCAAGAACTGTATTGGGTCGGGTAATCTGCATTATGGTTTGTCCTATTGCAGCAGTTTTTGTTGGAAAGTCTTTCCCCTTGAAAATGTTCGAAATCAGGACATGGAGTGATTCTGGGAGGAAGGACAGCTGGTCTTCTGCACCAATGTCTGGGTAGGTGTCCTTTGAACATACTTTTGTCTTGATGTCACCACGGATGAGGCTTGCAGCTGTCTTTATGATGTGAATTTTCTGCTGCTGAGGATCATCGTCCTTGGGCTGCTTGTAAAATTCCGCAAGGATGTAACCTGCACTTTCCTTCAATATGACAACGTCTGGAGTCCGGTTGAGTTTCTCGGTAATGACAATGCCGTCACCAAAATGCTCCAGTAATTTTTGTTTCATGTATTTGGGAGAGTAGGATGCGTCTTCGGGTGACAACTTGCTGTGCATGAGGTAAACAAGATCTGGGACAGTCACCTGCTCTATATCTTCAATCTCCAGATAATCAACAACTGCTAGGAAAGCTTCCAAACAGCGTTCATTCCGGGGTCACCCAGGCCCAGAGCACATGTTTTTTGCAGCAGGCTCACCACTTGCAAACAAAAGCAGGTACTCCATTCCTTTCTCTGAAATGCGTGTAACAGACGTTGTGGTAGACAGCATCATGAGCAAAAAGATCCAGCATGTACTCTATCTTGCCTGTTACCTCTCTTGACCATCTGTCTGTTTTACCCCTCTTCTTGCAAAACGAAGAACAGAGTCCTGGAATTGCGTTGTCAGTACATAAATCAGAGGATGACCGCTTCCGCCTTTCTTTCCTATTTTCGCCTTTTGACCCCAAAACAAACACAAAGGGATTTTCCAGGTTTTCAGACTTGTTCTGGTGCACGACGTTTCCGAGGTGACTCTGCAAGTTTTGGATCTTTTGATGGAAAATAATGTCTGTTAGTGAGGCAATCTCTACAGGTCTTATGGACATTGTCACCTGACTTTGCAAACACAGCATCTCCAAATTGTGCACTGATGCTGTTGATGGTTTTGCACTCCTTTTCTGTAAGCGTAACTGGCTTGGCATCAAACCCCTCTCCACAGATAATACAGGTCTTTTCTTCTTGCTTCCAAACACAATGTTATGATGGCATTAACATCGTCAAGTGAAACTCTAATACTAGCTCTACTTCCGCTATGCTATTTTGGTTGGACAGTCACTACCAGTTGCCAATGAAAACAGCTGGGGGGCTGGGGGGATTAATTAGGGGGGGGTGGCAAGCCGAACGTGTATAATCTTACCATGCGCACTAAAAGAATTAGAAGCCTATTATAATAGGCCTACAGCTATAGCCGTAAGACAAGATAAAAGGTAATAATTGTGTTACATATACTACCAGTTTGCCATACTAAATCGGCTTGACTCTGCGGTCGCCTCGGCTGCCATTGTTTTGATGCACGCAGAAATGCGGAAGTTCGCAGGCAAGTGCAGGATCAGTGTATGGCACGCGAAAGTTGCCACTAATAACGGAATGTGAAAAACGAATTTCGCAACTTATTTATTTTTGTTTTTGAAAAAATACATCTTTCAATTCTCCTCGATTCTTCATAATATTTTATTGACTGGTATCATCTACTTATTTTCCAAAAGACTGCTTTAAAGCAATTTCTTCAAGGTTGCACCAAAATGTTACTACTAGGAGAGAGAGAGAGAGAGAGAGAGAGAGAGAGAGAGAGAGAGAGAGAGAGAGAGAGTAACGCAGTGATGGAGCAAGCCCATGCAAGCCATGCCACTGCAAGTAGTGCAAGCACACGAAGCGTGTGAAGCGAGCGAGGGCTGTGGTGTGGTGTGCTGCAGACCTCGATCTCTCCCGAAACCTGTCACCAGCGATGTCAAGCGCAAGAGAAAATGCCTTTCAATTGACAAAAAATAGGAAATAATCTAGGCTGTTGACAAAAAGCAAGCTCCACTGGCAGAGATTTGTCGTCAGTTCGACATTCCACAAGGGTCGATTCACACCATTATCAAGGATAGAGAGAAGATAGTGGCAGCATATTTCAATGGAAAGTTTGCTCTAGATCGAAAGAAGAAGAGACTACCCGATGCAGACGCTGTGGACCAAGCTCTTCTGATGTGGTTTAAGGAAGCAAGGAGAAAGTTGGTGCCAAAACCCCTGTTCGTGGGTACTTGAGGGAAGGGAAACTACCAATGAATAAGTACAGCTGGATTAGTCCACAAATGCTTACTTTCCTTGCATTTCTGATTTAACAGGGATCGGATATAAAAACTGGACTTTTTCTCTACTCCCACCATTCCTGTTATATCAGGTTTCCACTGTACTTTATGTATTATTGTTATTATCATTATTACTAGGTCTATTATTATTAATATTATTAGTAGTAGTAGTAGTAGTAGTATTAGTATTACTATTATTATATCATTATTATTATCACATTAGTTCAAAATATGTTTACAAGATACCACAAATCTACCTACTGAGAAAACAATGGGATCTACCTGTATATGAGGCATGTCTTCCCACAGGCACCATCACCGATGACAACAATTTTACGGGCTACATCGGCATCTGAAAAGTGAAAAAGAAAGGGAAAATAAGAAAGAGGTAATAATAAACAGAGACTGGTGGCTTGGACCAAAAGGATACTGTCAAATTGGCAAGCTCACAGAACAAACTGATAGAGGCTTCCGTCTCTCTTATATTTTACTACGTCTCAGTCTCTGTCTGTCTGCCCCCCCTCCCCTTCTCTCTCTCTCTCTCTCTCTCTCTCTCTCTCTCTCTCTGGTACCGTGCCAATAGAGTTAATGCCCTTCACTCGATAAACCAGTAGGAGGGTTTCTTTTTTTGTAGGTAGGGGGTGTCTACTAAATTGTTAACAATGCGCCTCTTTCCTGTTTGGGAATGGGTCTTTTTTGTGTTCGAGAAGTAGCATGGCTTTTTTCTACTCTGAAGGTTGCCCAAGAAAGGGGCCCCAATGTTGTAAGAAAAGGCGCCTGTTTTGTTTCTGAAGGAGGAATTCACTAGACCGCTTCAGAAGCCTCCTTTTAGGGGCGCCCAAATCATGTGCCGTTCTTGCCATGCCCTAAACACACTTCTGCTTTTAAGCAAAAACAAAACGAAACACACACACACAGTAAAGACTCCTTGACTCTAATGAGAACTGCAGTCTCACTTCTGAAAGAACTAAAGCCAAAAGAAACGTGGCTCATAGATACGTTCACAAAGAGAACAACGGAAATGAAACGCTTTGTCACATAAAAAGATCTAACAGGATATTTCTAGAAGAATAGTTTTTAAATGAGTGTGGCAGAGGACTTCCGAAAAGCAGAGGTAGCTACTGAAAATCACTGAATAGCTGGAGACAAGCGAACGGGAAAGAACTGCTACTGCTAGCAGATGGGCTGAGCTGTAAGCCAAGCCCATAAACTTGTATTATTATGAAACCGTACATCATGTACGGTACTCAAACGTATTTCTGGTTCACAATGGGACGCGCTATAAGCCTAAATGAAACTTTGAAAGAAAAAAGAGATGCCTCGCATACTCGGCTGTAGCGAGACTGGTGGTGTAATTGTAATGGTGCAGAATAACATCAATTGTTATAAAATTGCTGTAATAGCGTGGACAGCACAGGCTTCGCAGCAAAGTTTTTGTAACAAGCGAAGAATCGAAGAGAAGCGGCCATGATAGTGCGCGATCTACGAGTACAGATCTATAGGAATGCCAGAATGCAAAATGGGGTCAACAAGTCTGTAACTGTAAGTAAGCACACCAGAGTAGGCCTAGAGAATGTCACATGGATGGCGTTGCACTCATCAAAAGTTACCTTAAGCGCTTCTTCATAACACCCCATC